TGCTCTTTATTTCATTCTCGGGGTCCCAACCCTCGTTCAGCAAACAACTTAAGTATTTGAATTGCCTGACCTGTTCGATTTCTTCTCCAGAGACATATATCTTTGCGTTGGGGTAATCATTCCTACTTATAATCATTGTTTTTGTCTTCTTGATATTTATTTTTAAACCCCGAGCTTCACTTGCAAGAGTTAGATCATTCAAAAGGCATTGAAGATCTTCGATGTTATCTGAAACTATGGCTGTATCATCGGCATACCTGATGTTATTAATAAATATGCCGTTAACTTTAATACCCTTATTAGAGTCTGCCACTGCTTCTGCGAAGGCTTTTTCTACGTATAAATTGAACAGCATTGGAGACAGTATACAACCTCAAACGCAACAAGGCGTCCAAATTTAAGATGGGACTATGACATATGGAAACAAGCAGGTACAACATGGCACAGAAAAGCGAATATTAGACAATCGTGGGCATAAATGAAGAAGACGCTGTATAATACGCAGTAGAATACGCTAAGAATGATGATGATGATAATGACGATGATACATTGTAATATAGGTATTTTTATAACTTGTGGTAAATTTAGCAAAACGAACGCTCCAAAATACCGTCTCTCAAATAATAAGCCACCTCGGATCTGTCTCGTCGGAATTATCTATACCACCCTCTCAGTGTTTGATCAAGATAAATTTGAAATAATGTGGGTAATATACAGCTCCCTTGTCTAAGACCTTTGAAAGTTTAATTTACTTCATTGAAGAATTTCCTGTTTTAATTTGTGTTGAATTGTTTCGATTATTTAGTTTAGATGGAAACAATATCGGTACAGTTAAGAGGTCTAAGTACCTCGGAAGATTGTTAAATGAGATTCCGATTATGAGATGAGGACTAGATAGAAACAATGGCATAGTGTTTCAGTGTTGAAATGTTTTAGTGCCGTAAAGTTCCAAGAAGGGAAACTCGCTTGACAACCGACAGTACATTCATTGAAATTAAATATACAGGGAAAAATATAAAATTCATTCCTCTGATTTAGATTGCTTAGTAATATTCAGGTTTCTATGGGTTGTTCGTAATTTCAACATTGCTACGGGCGGATGTAGGACCGATTTTAGGGGGAGAGTATGAACTTCTTTAGGGAGTCTGGGGCAATTTTTTTAAGAATTGAGGGTTAAAATGGTGAATTTTAATTCCTCTAATTAAGAGTCCTTTTATCCTGTCTCATTTAGTGTCTCAATGGTTTTTTTAGTGGGTCGATATATCCCAATGGTATCGCAATAAAATATTTCAATGGGTTTCAACCTTTTATGATATGAAATAAAAACCTTAAAAACAATTTTCTTTTGAATTTAACTAATAATAATTCACAGTATAAGTAACAAAACTTTTTTATAAATGGTAAGGAGTCAATCATTCTTTACATAAGTGTACCTGACACATTTAACATATCAATTGTGTTCGTGTTTCTTTTTTCTTGGCAGAACATTCGTACAACGAAAACGAGATTTTTCTTTAATTGGTAAATGATCCCCCACATTTATCATATTCTTCGTTCTCTTTGAAGGTCTTTTTACAGATATTTTTCATACATGAACTTTCGTAGAGCTGACCTACTGTCAGTAAAAAATCCATGAATGGCATTGTGATTCGGTTGGATGTAAATAATCTAACTATTGACAGCCGCTACCATTGTGAGTCTAAAGAAAGACTTGTTTCCACAATTTTTAGCGATTTTCTATCTAAATCATACAATCCAGACATTTGGTCACCCAAGTCAACTTATAGCCACCCATACAGCAGTTGTAAAAAGGTATAGCTTCTGGACAAGAGACATCTGATTTTGTACCATCAAGTCCTTTACGTTTTACAGTGGTTAAGGTATCTGTGTGGCAATTACTCAATAACAATACTTCCTTAGTGTCTTGCCATTTCATTCCAATTATTCCTGCATCATCGGTCCAAACGAACTGTGACTATCTGACTAACTTGGTTTCGTGAACTAGTTTTACAGAAGTGAAAAATCTGTCGAAAGCTAAAGCGACATTATCATCTTTTATCGTACCTACTTGAGAGTGTGTGCACAACTCTTTCCCCCAAGGAACCTTCAAATTTTTGAATTTCCTTTCCACTGTAAATATTTATATCATATGTGTAACCTGTATCAGAGTCGGATCCAACCCATGTCTTTATTCCTCTTTTTATAGGTTTGTTCGGAATATATTGTTTCAATGTGATTCGGCCCTTAAACTTCGTCATGCTCTCATCAATACTTTGACGAGAGCTGTCTGAGCTGTATTTCTAAAAAGTGTACTTCAAACAAGAAAAAAATTCATCAATATAGTAGGTTTTTGAAGCAGTTTCTGACTTTTTTCGGTGATTCATGTACAATTTACCTAGAAGCACCAAACATTAATTCCTTGAAATGCTTTGTTTTATAAGTTGGTTACCAATAGAAGGTCTTAAAGACCAGTAATCAGAAAGACGAGCAAGAGGGTTGATACACATAATAAATGTTATTCCGATTACGATCATAAATTCTCCAACATCTATGTATTGTGTTCCTCTTCGTGTTGTCTTCTCCCTTCTGTAGAGATCAGTTCTCTTGTTGGTACAATCCACAATAAGAGTATCAAAGTTGGCGAAAATATTTTCTTGAAGACTTGTAGCAGACCAAAAGTATGAACAAATTCTTTGTGAATTACAGGAGAAATGGTTGGAAATCTGGGTTCAAAATGGTTTGGAAGATTATACCAAAATATTTTTTCATTCCTTTTCCCTCTTTTTTTGGTACTTTGTTCTACATTTTCACCTTTATTGTCTGGCTTTTCTTTACCTTTAAAGTTCTAAAGTTTCTCGATTATTTATCTAATCTTCAGATTCAATGATTTCGAAAACTAATTCTCAGAATCGTTGCCAGAAGGATATCGATCAATAGAAACTTCACTATCTGTATAGCTTGGATCTTCATAATTATCACTGTTGGCAAATGGCAAATCAGAATAAAAAATGTTGGCGAAGTTTGGATTGATTAGTCCCACCGAAAACAACCATTGGGATTATTTATCCCGAACACTAACATTTTCTCGTCATTTTTTTGTTCCACTCCGATTTGTTTTGTATAATATGATTAATTTCAGTCATTCTACAGAGGTTTACTTATAAATATAAATCAACATCAACTCACCTTTTGCAATAATTTTGTTTGAATTCACACAAATACTTTATAGTAAACAGACACGCCTTCGTTTTTTTCAATGAGAAATATAGGTTAAACGAATGGTGGGTTGCCTATGAATTAGGTACATGGTCGTACGATTGTACCACTATGTTTAATTTCAATGTAAAATTGGGTTTCATTTACCCAATAGAATTTTTTGAATTTCTGATGGGACCATTGGCCAAAGGGGTCGAAAGGGTTAAGGGGTGTCTCGTACTGAGAGTGTTTTATATATATATATATATATATATATATATATATATATATATATATATATATATATATATATATATATAATATACAAGGATTTCCACAGTCTTCACTGTATTCCTTCAGTCAACCGTTTTCTCCAATTTTTCCTGTTTAGCCAGTCCCCTTCCTGTAGGTTTCTTCTTCTCTCATTGCTTCGTCCACTTCATCTATGAAAGATCTTCGGGGTCTGCCTCTCTTTCTTCTCCTATCGGGCTCCACTCTGTTATTCTATTTATCCACCGATTTGGTCTGCTCTTCTGATATGTCCGTACCAGGTTAACCTCTTCTATTCGATGTAGTCTATTATGTCGGAGTTCATTCCCATTCTCCTCTTAATCTCCATGTTATTTATTCTATCTCTTCTTGTTACTCTGCAGCTTCTCTTTAGGAATTCCATCTCTGTTGCTCTTATTTTGTTTTTGGTTTTCTTATATATTGTCCAATTTTCACACCCATAAGTGAGGATACTTCTTGTCATGGTATTATATATTTTTTTCTTTGTTTTCATGCTGATGTCCTTATCCCATAGTACCGGGTTCAATTTTCGAATGGAGTCTCTTGTTTGTCCTAGTCTATTTTTTATATCTTCCTCCGCTGTTCCTTTGTTTGATATTATGAAACCTAAATATTTATACTTGTCTGTTTCTTTGATTTGTTTACCTTCATCTATTTCCAGCTGTTTTATTTCTGTATTCTCTGTTAGGTATTCAGTTTTCTTTAGGTTTATTTCCATCCAATTCTTTGTATATTCCTGCTCCTGTTTTCTCATTATAAAACTGAGGTCATCCTCGTCTTGTGCGATCACTATTTTCTTGTTTTCTTCTGCCATTTACATTTTTGGGAAATATAATAGGGTGGTTTTCCCATTACCTTCCCCGTCGCATTACCGCAACCATTCAAACTTCTCCAGTCATGCTTGTCGTAGTCCAATTTCAAAGCCGGTCCAGGATCATTTCCTCTGCGCCTTGAGCTGGTTCTGATGATCGCTGCTACCCTTCACCAGGAAGAGAGGAGCATAGGTAACTAGATTTTGGAAGGATAAAGAGATGGGACATGATTTCTTTCAGTATGTAATTGAGAGGCTCGCGTGGGAGGGTCGCTTCCATGTAGTACGCCTATTCTCTACCGTAGAGATCGTAAAAAAAGTGTCTACTTTTAGTATAGTCTCTATAAGTCTCTTTAAGTGTCTCTATAAGTGTAAAAAAAGAAGAAATTTGGTTTGGTAAACTACTTTTTCAATCTCAGTTTTGAAAATATTTGTTTATCGTACGGTATTAAAATATGATTGCTGTACTTCTAATCTTTATTTTATATGTACATGTTTTTTAAATGTTGGTGTACTCTATAAAGATTATTTTATTTTTTCTTGATTTATTTATTACAAATCTTATAACTCAAATATCATATGTCAAAAAAGAATCAGTTCTTTTAACAAAGAAAACATATTCAAAATAAAAAAAAATTGTAATAATATATATTTATAATTAGTTGATATAATGCAATTTCTAAAAAGTGTTTTTTCATTACAGAGAGCAGGTCCTAGCTACAGGTCAGGACCAGCATTTTGTCCAACTATAAATGCTACAGTTGGAAATTCGCCGGAAATACTAGTGGCATCTGGCATAAAGAAAGCAATCAAGGTGAAGGTCCATATCATCGGTCAATTCATAGTTCAAACAAGATTCGTATGCCAATTCAATATCGAAGGAAGAGTGACCAGTGTAAATGCTCAACTACTAGGTGATACTATTTATTGCGACCCCATGGAGTTTTCATATACTTCTCGAGCACCAAACATCACAGCTACGTTTGCTGTTATTTGGGGAGGTTCTAAGCCTCTTGACAATCCAGACAATATTCACAGTACGTATATTTTTCAATATTTTTAAATACCTTCTTTTTATTGTCTCCAGTATACAGTTGTAAAAGCCAAATGGAATAAATTCATTATTTAGGTTACTGTACATATTTATAAAAAATCCCGAAACACGTCAAATTTAAATTATAACTTGACATTATTTAACGTGAAAATGCAACCCCTTTAGAATGACAGGTACAACCCCCAATTCTTAAAATAGGAAGTATAGGCTTGTGATATGTCGTTTGAAAGGTCTTTTCATTCTCCATTCAAAAATGTTGTCGCTTTCAAGTTTATTAAGATTAATTAAGATAAAATAAATTAAAATCATGTGGTTACCGAAATTCGCTACAATACAATCAAAAACTAAAATGTAATGCAAAACGTAATAAAATGTAGAACAGGAAAAAGAACTATAAATGTTAATGAAGTAGATGTTCAAAATGTTCACCGCGAACGTCTTGGCAACATCCTAATCTCAAATAAAACTGTCTTCTAACATTATTTAACATAACAAGCGTGATAGACCTAATCGCAAGCGTTATTCGTTCTTTTAAGTCATTTAAATCAGAAGGTTTAGTTTTGTACACATTGCTCTTCACATATCCCCATAAAAAGAAATATAATAATGTAAGATCAGGTGATCGCGCTGGCCATTCAATCGATCCTCACCTCCCTATCCACCGATTGGGAAATATTGTATTGAGGTACTGCCGGACATTAAGTTGGTAATGTGGTGGTGCTCCATCCTGCTGAAACCATATCGTATTCGCTGGAATTGATGGTTTCCTGGATCAGGATATAAATTTGCCAACGTTGGAATGACATCATTTTGAAGTAGTGCCAAATAATTGTTTCCATTCAAGTTGCCCTCAATGAAAAAGGGACCAATGATATTGTTTCCTACAATCCCTGCCCAAACATTAACCTTTTGAGGGTATTGAGTGTATTCTTCTCTCATCCAGTGAGGATTTTCCGTGACCGAGTAGCGGCAATTTTACCGATTAGCATGACCGTTAAGTGAAAAAGTACACTCATCAGAAAACATAACGTCTTTTAATTGGATAATATTGTTATTCAACATGTCCATCATTTGCTCACAAAAAAAAGTTCTATCAAAATCGTCTTCCATGAGCTCCTGAGTAGGTATCATCTTATAGGGATGCAATTTATTTTCTTTTAATATGTTTACTATCGATGTATGGCTAGCATTGAATGTAGTGGATGCCTGTCTACTCGATGTATGTGGATTTTCCTGAAACTCAAGCAACACATCTAATTTGAGTTCATCACTCAGTGCATTCGCAGCTGCTTTTTTTATCTGCCTTACATGACCAAACTCGCGAAACTGCTTCTCTATTTTACTTAATGTTCGTTGGGATATAAGCGGTAAATTAGGAAATTTCTCATGAAATAGGCGAGTTACTTCCTGTTGTGTTCGGGTGTTATCTCCGTAACCAATCATTTTTAAAACTGTTATTTTATGCATTTCCGTTAATCTAACCATTTTTCAGAATTGAATTGAACGAACTTTTTACTTAAATTAGAATACTGACAACTTAAATAAAACAATTTACTAATGCGTCTTAAAATAACGTTGCCACGGAAATTCTTTAAAGTTTTTTAATGGTTACCATCTAAAAACCACATTGCTATGGTTTTTGTTTAGTTTCTCATTATCAAGACCTAAACGGGAAATAAGTTTTGAGTATATTTTAGCGAATTTCGGTAACCAACATGATTTTAATTTATTTTATCTTAATTAATCTTAATAAACTTGAAAGCGACAACATTTTTGAATGGAGAATGAAAAGACCTTTCAAACGATATATCACAAGCCTATACTTCCTATTTTAAAAATTGGGGGTTGTACCTGTCATTCTAAGGGTTGAAGGTAGGGGTTGCATTTTCACGTTAAATAATGTCAAGTTATAATTTAAATTTTACGTGTTTCGGGATTTTTTTATAAATATGTACAGTAACCTAAATAATGAATTTATTCCATTTGGCTTTTACACACTGTATATATACATACATAATTTTTAGAACATTCTACATTTTTTTCTAAGCAAATACAATGGTAGAATTATGTTAACCAAACAATTTTTATTTATAGTTGTGATATACCGTTGTCGTGATATGGCTGACAACTGTGGAATATGCTTAGCCTTAGCTGAAAAATACGACTGTGGTTGGTGCCAGAGTTCGGATAGGTGTGAAGTGAAAGACCAGTGCGAGAAAGGTTCGGCGGTTTGGTTGAATAGAAGTCAAACTTGTCCTAATCCTGAAGTAACGTCGTTTAGTCCAGAATTGGGACCGTGGGAAGGAGGGACAAATATTACGATCCAAGGTATAAATCTGGGTAAAAACTTTCAAGATATTTATTCAGGAATTAGTATTGCTGGAATCAATTGTCAACCATACGATCATCTTTATATCAAGACAAAACAGATTGTTTGTCAGGTGAGTTTGTCATATATTGATCATGCACAAATTCTTTTGCTATAGCTGTTTTGTGGCATCTTGTTTTAGATTAACTTTATTTGAGGATTAAGCACAATTTAAAAATTATAAATTATTTAGTTGGCCATCATATGCAAATCCTTTTTCAAAAAAATATTAATTTTTAACCCTTTCAATACGAATTTTGGCCATTGAAGATATTTCTGTTTAATCGTGCTGTTAATAAGTGAAGGAACATGTTTATGAAATGAAATTACAGATTTTTACAAGAATATGGTTTTTGAAAAAATGCCTAGGGACACATATGTTCCTACAGTAGTTTAATTATGGGGTGAATATATCCCAGCAGTAAATAATCAGACCTCAAAGTTAGGTATTCAAGAGTAGAATATATTTATTTTTATTGAAACTTTTGCATTATGTATGGTATGGTATAAAACAAGCTATTTGACATTATTGGCAAATTATTTTAGTCATTTTTTCAATATTCCTGGACTGGCGTCTTATGCATCTGTGTCGGCCGCCTTTTTCAACTGAAATATGATCTTTAGAACATTTACGAAAACTTTGACATTCTTTGAAACAATGCCCTGTCTTTTGGACCGTTTGCACAAATATTCTGCTTGTCCTTGACCAATTAACTCTTCAGCTACATCTACTACGAAGTCGTTAAATGCGAATTTTCATTATACAAAATATACAAATTATGAACACAGGTCATTAGCATCCTAAAAAATACTTTCTTCCGCCATTTCCCACTTCTATCTAAATCGTATAAAGTAATCATTTGATCTAGATGATCTACGCCCCCCATATATTTATTGTAGAAAATCATAGCTTCAGGGCATTCAATATTTTTAGTAGTACCATCTTTAATTTTTTCTATCTATAGTTATCAATAGTGGCATTGTAACAGTTGCTCATAAGTAACACATCTTTTAGATCTTTCCACTTCATTACTAATATCCCTTCATCACATATTGCTATTTCGCATTCACCTCTTTCTTTTAGATTAGTTTGAATATTGGGTATGCTTTTCCGATTTGATATACATGTTTCTGCCAATTTTAGAACCACACGCTCGCCTAAGGTTCGTTCAGTTTCCCGTCTACTATATACGTTTATGTTATAAACATACCCCTTTACTGCATCACATCTTGTCCAAAGTTTGATTCCTCTTTTGACAGATTTTAAGGGGAATACTGTTTTGGACTGGACCTTCCTTTGAATTTCGTCATTAATGGATTGAAATGTGCTGTCAGTTCTCGCTTTCAAAAATGTATTTTTCAAGTATGACAAAAATGTCTTCAACACAATACGTTTTGGATGCCTCTGGAGGATTGTCGAGGTCATTGAAATACAATTTTGACATCATTAGCATAAAACGATCTCGGGTAATGGATCCGAGGGATTTGTTGCGCGACCAATACATATTCATTACTAGTACACAATTCAGTGGCATTATCAATAAACAACCCAAAATAATTTTTATTTCTCCTAGTGATAAGCGATGTCATATTTGTGTTATTGAGCGTTTGAAGGCACAGATTTGTATAAGTACTTATCTGCGTTATGAGCCTCTTAGGAAATAGTGTATAAAACCAATCAATTAGGTCATCAGTGAAATTTACACTTTCAGAGTTGTTATCGCTATCGTCATTTACCGTAATCCGTGCTTTCCATTTCAGCAGATATAGAGGGATCAGAGCCTTTATAATCTGTGTCACTGCTATCGTCACTATCGTGGTAAGAATCCACATTCATATCAGATAAATTATGTTAGACAGTGGTCGATTCATCCTAAATTATTTCAATAATAAAAATTAAATTCGCATGATAAAATACTTATGGGACAGATACATCCTACATTACAGCACTGCAGGGATATATATGACCCAATAAGACAAAGAAGGTTAAATAATGCATAAAAATAATTTTATGCTGATATAAATGCTACATGCAATGTTCTTTTTCCTTCCGTAATTAGAAACAGATAAAATTTTCACTAAAACACAGAAAAAACTAAAAATTTTGCTTTCACGTGTATGCACGAAGAGCACGCTTTCACTTATGAACGTATACCAAGTATGAATTAGTTATTATGCTAACCGAAGCACGTGTTGTGAAGAACTAACCACAGACTACTGTTTAGTCTCATCCTAGTAATCCCTTAGTAATTTTTGAACGTTCTCTGGAACTTATATGTCCCAGCAGTATTAAAAGGGTTAAGTTGTGTTTAATTTTCAATAAAAATGCTAGTAAAATATTTACATGAGGTTACTATTTTGATCTTACTGTTGAAGTTGAATATTTTTTATACATAATGATTTTTTGCTCGATTTTCTATTTCAATTCGGTATTTTTTCGTCTATAGATAGCTGTGTACTTCCTGAATTATATTCATTTGTAAAAATCATTTAGTGTATATCAAATTTCCTTAATGATCTTGGTTATGTACCTTTGCCATACTGGTCATATACTCGGATTCTTTTATAGAGTCTGAGCACTATTTCATTTTTTTTTATCGAACGTTCATCTTCTGCTCTCTCTAACTGCTCTACCCAGTTCCACTTCAGTTTAGTGATTCATTTCACCACACCTTAAAAGTCCAATCTTTGCTTATTTTATTTGCTTGGTATATAGTCTTGTAGTCTTACTCTGACGTGTACATATGGTTTCTGGACTAGGGAAAAGCTTACGACATGTGCTATCACGAAAAGATGGTTCATATCCTGAGAAGTATGGGAGAAGTACAAATATATGAATAATAATCAATTATATTGGGGATAAAAGGCAAAAGTACGATTGGATGGACAGTTTATCAGTATCAAATCAATAAAGGAATCCGCCAGGGTTTGCTTGATGTCTCCATCGTTGTTCAATGTAAACTCAGAACAGATTTTTCGACAGGTACTAGAAGATCTTACAGAGCGAATCAAAGTGAATGATGAAGTCATTAACAATATCCGATATGCAGATGGTACCATATTAACAAGTAGTAAGTTAAGTCATAACAACGAGTGAAGATTTAGTTAACGTTATAGTCAATTCATGAAATATAAACAATAGGTTTAAATAAAAATAAAAATACTAGTTACTGTCTCAGTTTTGGTAAACTAATTTAATTAAAATTCATATAGATTTCAACATTATGGGTCCTTGACTTCGTTTACTTTTAAAAAATGTACAATCAATCTTGTTCCGAATGTCATTGTGACTTTAAACAGTCAATTATTACTTTTGGCATTTTACTTTCCTACAATTGTGATGTAGAAGAACTCTTTTGGGTAGGGAACTTGTTTCCTGTAGGCAATCCAAGTGCATCGACATATAGCCAGATAATTTAACAATTTTAAGTTTGGTTTAATCCATTGTAACCCAATCACTGTTTGGTATTGGGGTTTTTGCAAGTACTACAAAGTAAGTAATTAACCACATGTTTGCGTATAATAGTCAAAGTTTTACCCTACGTTTTTAGCAATTTAGTGGGATTATTTGCTTTTAAGTTTAATGAAGATGGACATATTAGTCTGGGATTGTTTTGTCATGGACTGTTTTTTAAATTTATTTTAGAAGTTTTACTTCTATGTTAGAGTTTTTTCACTATATGGTATACAGCCAACTCCTGGAGATTATCGCTTTTTAATTTTGAAATCTGAAATCATAAATGCAATTAATCATCTCAAAACAAATAAAAGCCCAGGTCCAGACGGAATATACCCAGAAACGCTCAAATTAATCAGCGAAGAAAATATCGAATTATTTGTCCTTTTATTCAATCGCATTTATGATACAGGTAAAATACCCCAAGATTGGCTGGAGTCAATATTCATCCCACTACCAAAAAAGCCAAACCCACAACACTGCAATGAGTTCCGTCTGATAAGCCTTATGAGTCATGCTGTAAAAGTCCTACTAAAAATCGTACATAATCGTATCTATAGAAAGTGCGAAACAATCATCGGAGACGATCAGTTTGGATTCAGAGCCGGCATGGGAACGAGAGAAGCCCTGTTCAGTTTACTAGTTCTCGCCCAAAAATGCTACGACCAACAGAAAGATATATTTATATGCTTTATAGACTTCGAAAAAGCATTTGATAGAGTAAGACACGACCTACTATTAGAACGTTTGCAAGAAGTCGGTTTAGATGGAAAAGACATCAAATTCTTAAAAAACTTGTACTGGAACCAAAAAGCCAGAGTTAGGATCGAAGGTTCCACATCCGCAGAAGTAGAAATTAGGAGGGGAGTTAGACAGGGATGTGTTCTGTCGCCTCTGCTGTTTAATCTTTACTCCGAGTTTCTATTTAAAGAAGCATTGGAGGATTCCAAGGATGGAGTCAAGGTGAATGGCGTAAATATCAACAGTATCAGATACGCCGATGATACAGTGTTAATTGCGGATTCCGACTCAGGTCTACAACGACTCATCGACAAGACCAACTCGACCTGTGAGCAATTTGGTATGAAAATAAACATTAAAAAAACCAAAGTGATGTCAATCCGAAAAAACCAAAACGTACCTCAACCTTGCACAATAAATGGGCACATCTTAGAACAGGTCAATAGATTTAAGTACCTGGGATGTTGGATCGATAGCAGCCTAAATCCTGATCAAGAAATATGATCGAGAATAGAACAGGCTAGAAAATCTTTCGAAAAAATAAAAAAACTGCTTTGTGATTCTCGAATAAAACTCGAAATTCGACTACGTTTATCAAAATGCTACGTCTGGTCGACTCTTTTATATGAAGTTGAAACGTGCACCCTTAAAACATCAACCGTAAATAAATTGGAGGCCTTTGAAATGTGGATCTACCGGAGAATACTCAAAATTTCATGGACATCGCATACCTCAAACGAAGAAGTGCTGCATAGAATAGGCAAGGAAAGAGAACTTTTTAACACAGTAAAAGTAAGAAAAACACCATACCTAGGCCACATACTGAGAAATAATAAGTACCAATATGCCCAACTTATAGTGAAAGGAAAAATCGAGGGAAAGAGAGGCCTAGGAAGGAAAAGACTATCATGGCTCAGAAACATCCGACAATGGACAGGGCTAAATTTTGAACAGCTAATAAGAACAGCTGAAGATAGAGAAGAGTTTAAAATTGTAGTAGCCAACCTCCATTGAGGAGAGGGCACTTTAAGAAGAAGAAGAATTTTAAGAAGAATAATTTATTGTAGTTGCCGCAGTATATTGCACTATTTTTGAAACATTGTGTTGTTTTTCTTTTTCTCTTATTATTTGTTAGATCATTTTTCTTTTTCTTTTTTTTTATGTATATTACATTTCTTTGGCTGACTTATTATACGGTTTTACATTATTGGCCGTCCGCTGAACTTTATTATTAAGATATCTTTATTGGGCTTAATAATATGTGGAGCTTTAATTGTCTTGTGTGTTTAAATTCGCATGTCTGCATGAAATGAATACAGCATATTGGATCTTTATTGCTACAATATGATACTCTCTTTTTTTCTGTGGATTTTGTGTTTTGAATTTTCCTGTCTAGTAAGAATAAGTATGGAAAAATGTACCGCTATTAATGTGGTGTGTATGTAGAGCCTTTGAATAAAACGAGGCTGAATATCAGCTAATCAGAGATGTATTGTTATCAGTTGCACCGAGTTTATAGCCTTTAAGGTTTTTGATATAACTGTAGTAAACAACTCATATTTTTCCAATATCCGCCCTCTGTGCCTTAGATTAAATGGAATTTTAAGTTTACAAAGTTTATTATACTAATCCACAATCATATAAAATTATTAAGTTATGCCAGATAGCAAAATTTGGGCGGTAGAAGAAAATGCCTTAAACCGGACTTCCATTTTGTTTTTCACTTAATTTATATGAAAAATAGAAAAAATACTTTAAAAGTACATACCATTTTTTTATAATGTTATGAATCATTTATATTTAACTTTCATTAATATGTATTTTCCAAACTCGCGTTTGGTAAGTTCGGAAAATAGTTGTTAAAAGTGGACCCTCTTAAAATTGATGAATAAAGTTGTAATAAAGTTGTTCTGAAGCTATTTTCTTGTGGCATTTTAAATTAATTACTATTTAACTGGGAATAAGCCACAATTAAAGGTTAAAGTAAGTTGATTGACGTTTGAATTTCCACTTCGAAAATCGTTCTCAAAATACAAACATTAGTAACATTATTGACCTTCAATATCTCGGCAACCAGTAAGCCGAATGTATCTTTTATTTTTAAAGAAACGTCTTTTAATGTTCTTTAGTGTATAAATATTGAAATTGATATGTTTAAAGCTCGTAAAGTTATTCAATTTGTTTACAAGCCTAAAAAATGTTTAAAACTTTTTAAAAAATTTTTGGCTCTCTTAGTGAACCGATTTGAATTTTACAAAAAGCGTTTGAAAGTTTTAGCCTTCTTTTATATGTAAAAAAATTTGCAACTATCTGAGGGCCTTATTTAGGGCCTACTATAAATTTGAAAATTTGTGATTTTTTCCAGTAGGCTGGATTGCAAAATTATTATGCAAAACCTATTCGACCGATCTAAACAAAACATATTAAAAAGTTTTCACAAGTATAGAAAGTCGAAATCATTTAAAGGATTAACTTCATTTTTTTGTACTTTTTTTCCAATTATTGCTATTTATTCAACAAAAAACATTAAATTTTCAATTTCTAGCTAACGAAATATTGTGTAAACTTGAATATCGAAATTCTTAACTTCCTATATTTTTTCTATAGGATCAATATTTTCCGAATTATAAACGAAAATAGGAGCAAAAGAATGAGAAATTTTCAATTGTTTTCAGATTTTGTTAAATAAAAAATTTAGCACAGAGTTTGCGACTGGCGCATATCGTGATTATCGATATTGGACACATCCTGAAGGGATCCCAGCAAAACATAGCTTCGTATGGAAAATGTCCAATCCAAAACAGATCCCGCCTAGACTAGTATAATCAGAACAAAGTTTGAATAATTTAACTCCATATTTATTGGTTTTATTTGAAATGTACTATTTCGTAACTTTCATCTTGTACTATTTCATAACTTTCATCATAACTTGTGCAACTACGCTATTTTGATATATTCTGCATTTACTCCAAACTTACTGTTTCTAGTCTAGTTAAACTAACCTTATGTAACCTACTATACCCAGAAACTTTTTCATTTCTGCTACGTTTGTTGGTGTCCATGCATGGAGACCGCTATTTTTGGCAATATCATCGCCATTCATTAAGCATAAAAATTTCGTTTTGTCTGTCATAATTTGTACGATATCATCATCCACAAAGAATGAAAAGAAATCACTACAATATGAACCTATTAGTGTGAAAAGGCCCATATAATAAAAGGCCTATGTCTGTTTAATTTCTGTAACTGCTTCAAACTAATGTCTTTTCTAAATTTGCTCCCTGATAATAGCAAGTATCACTAAGTTTTCTTGCTTTCTGATCACTGTGCATATATGACCTACAAACGGTTTCACCGGTAACAGTAATATCCATGCTCTCTTATGAACAGTTTTGTCTACTGTCTGTTTTTGCCGCCCAACTGGAGAGGACCCATTCAATTATATGACCTCGTAATTTGTGTAATCTTCCAGAAGTTTGCTCATGTTCTATGCGAGATTTTCTCATTCCCAATCATTTTAAAAATTATGGTACTTCTTGAACAACTGTTCATTACAACTGTGACATTGTCATAATAATTAAGATAAAAGTGCATTATAACTGATACACGGATTAACAACTGTCAGTAAAATATTACTAGAAAGGTATGTAAAAATTCTCATTGGCAAGGTGTTGATCAATGACAACGAAAAAACTTCCAGATACTCTCTACACATACTAAATTTCAACGTATTCGTTTTTTCGATTGATAATAAGAAATGTTCAACTTCCAAAAATGGCCATTAAACCTACAGTTACAATATTTTACATTGTTGCCAAATATTTTACTAGCGAACCATTGTTCTAGTTGGCAAAGAGAAAAAATCTAAGGAGTTACAATGTTTCTGTATATCATTTTTTCAAATAGTACAAAAAACTGATGACAGGTATTTGCCTTCTTTAAAGTTTAGTCACCCAATGTAAATACAAAAGCTCTGCTTTATATCTGTGAAAAATCGCCAAACAGCCATTTGCCCCATCAAATAATGTTATTTTGTTTCAGGTGGACGGTCCTGGTACTAAAGAACTTCGTCAGGGTCCAGTAACAGTGAAAGTTGAGGATTATCGTGGAGAATCCAAAACACACTATCGTTTTGTCAATCCTAATATCACTGGTATCTCTCCAAAGTGTGGACCAAAATCAGGTGGAACGATGCTACAAATTACTGGTGAATATATGAATGCAGGCAGTAATATTCAAGCATTTTTGGATGATCTTCCATGTAGAATACTATCGTAAGTATTAATATCAATAAAATGCTAACTTTATACTTAAAAAAAGGATACTTTTGCTAATTTAAGACTGGATTGGACACTAAATTATTTTACACATACATTATTTAACAATATTAGTGCATTACTAAGATTTAAAACATTTTGAGTAAATGCTTATTTAATTTTAATATTTAAACAGCAACTTATTTAAAAGCCATGTACTTGATTTGTTCAGTTAACAACTGCTCATTAAGACAAATAATTATAAACCAGAGAAATTATCAAATAAATAGCCTTTTTCGTGATACTCTTTGATACAGGATACATTTGATACTTTGATACTACTTTAATTGTATCTATCAATTGCTTTTCATAAATTTGGTAGTAATAATATGTAATAAACAAAATATGCAAAAGATTAAACTTTATTTTTTATTTGACATTTTTTTACTTGTCAAAAACACATTTTTCTGAAAAAGCAGAGAAAATATTTTGAACTGAGAGTTTGCAAAGTTATTTTTGTTAATTTGTTGTTTAATTATTGCAAAAATAGCTTCAAAACTCGATTTTTTGAAAATTATAAATAACTTTTTCTAAAAATGCATAAAAAACTTTAATTTTGGGAGTTAATAGGAACAATATCACTTGACAAAAAAAAATTAAAAATGATTCCTCTAAAAATAAGCCGTTCATGACGCGCCAAAGATAAAGAGTTTAAAAGCGAAGCGATTTTATTACTTCAAAAACTGAATTCATAAATTCAAATTTATAAAAGTCACAATATCTCGGTTCTAATCAACGAAAATTGATGTTTTTTTTTAATTTGGGTTATCTCGTTGCATAGATTATTATTATTTCTTTTCATAGACTTTCGACAGGCATATGATAGCGTAGAAAGGAAAGCGTATCTCACACTTATTTATGACTTATTTAATTAATGTAAACGTGAGGTTGCTTTAAAATGTAGGATTGCTTTAAAAATAAGAAAAGTGGAACTTAATATTATCAAGGAGTTATTTAGTTTGTTTTTATGAAGATATTCTTATATTAACTATAAAAACTGTTGCAGCACTGACCAAAACCAAGCCTTATGCATCACTAGCGCATCAGAATCAACCACAAAGCGAAAGTTGAAGATGAAGTTTGACAAAGGAGATCGATATCTAGAAGGAATGATGTTTGAATATGTTGACGATCCTGTAATTGAATCAGCTGAATCTGGTGTGGCGAGTCAAATCAAGGTACCAAAAGGAATTCCAGCTGGAGGGATTAAAATATCGGTGACTGGTAGAAATCTAGCTGTTATACAGAAACCGCAGATGTATGTCTTTTATGAACAGAAAATGTTCATTAGTGTAAGTAGTTTCTTTTCTGTTATATAAAACTAATAATAATAATTTATTTCTAACGATGTTTATATTATTTTTTTCTAGGAATGTACAATTTTGAGTAACATCAGCATGGAATGTCGTAGTCCAGTCATTGATGCAACTGAAGATATAAAATTGGATGCGGACAATCCCTTAAAATTAGAGTACGGCTTTCGTATGGACAATGTCACCGGTGTACAAAATTTAACCTTTAATAAAGCATTTAATCCATTCCTGCTATATCCAAATCCGATATTCATTCCATTTGAGAAGGAAGTAAAGTACTATAAATCTGACTATCTTAATATAAATGTAAGTATATAAACATAATGTTTATTAGTTCATAAAAGATTACTCTTAAAATATGTAAACGGAAAGTGGATCTATCTATAATGAATTATTTGAGTTCTGACAACTAATAAAAAAAATTCACTTATAACTATGAACAATTATCTACACTACATTTTAAAATCCTTCTTTGGTGATCGTTTTATTACAATTTGATTTATGGGAAGCTTTAATTTTACGAATATGTTCATTTCATAGATTTGCTTTTACAGTATAATGACTTGGACCACATAATTTACAGGATCCAAAAGGGTCCTCTTTTCGTGCCATTCTCAATTTGAGCATAGTCCTCTGTATATATCTGTGGTGTGTATCACCCATATATGAGGCGTTCAGAACCATAGTGGATTAAGTCCACTTTTTACGAAAATTAAGTAAGCGGTGTATCTATGTTCTACAAATATAAATCTTTTCGGTTCTATAACAAACCACGTCTAAAGTTACCGCAATAATAAACAGATCGCGCTAGTTTACTATGTCTCTGAACAATGTGTCATATTATTTCGGGACATAGTGGATCAAGTCCAGTTGACTAGTAAGAGATTGTGCTGTGTATTTGATTAAAAATGGATTCCATCGACGATATTAGTAACTTATCTACATCATCATCTGCTAATTATATACCTCCAGAACAACACTCGTCGGCAGAATCGGAATTAGCCAAATTTGATCAACTGTCAAGTGATCAAATGTACAATCAAGAAGAGATGTACTAAAATCGTACATTGATGACGTATCAGATGAACACTATGTTGCTACTTTTGACCTCCAAAAGCACTTTTATACCCGAAATTGTCTAGATCTATTGCATATTACAAAAGAAATATGTATGTATTTGAAAAGCGGCTTTATGTATGTGTGGGTCGAAGCAAATGGAGGTAGAGGATCTCAGGAAATATCTTCAATATTGACCACGCATCTGAGAAAACATACCAAAAATCATAACCACGTTTTTTTAACTCTCTATTCAGATTCATGTACAGGACAAAACAGAAATTTTAAAGTGACTGCCACGTTACTAAATCTTGTTCAAGATCCTTACATAAACATAAGAACGATAGATCACAAATTTCTTGTATCCAGCCACTCCTTTTTGCCAAATGACCAATATTTTTGAGTTATTGAAAAGGCTGCCAGAAAATCCTTCTCACATCTTTGGGCCAGACGACTGGATTGATGTAATAAAATCTTCAAAATTGGCGGATCCGTGAAGGTGTTAGAAATGAGATGGATGCGCTACGAGAGAGAAGATCCTTGGATTTTGAAGTACAAACCTACGCTGAATTTTCCGTTTTTTACTATCTCTATAGCGAAAACAAATGTCTCAAAATGCATTGGTAATCAAAGTCATCTGTATTCCACACCTGAGCTCATGACAGAAGCAAAGAAAAAGGACATGTTGTCTCTTCTCCCATATCTGCTACCAGTCACACACTATCATTTTAAAAATCTCTGTATCAACACAGGAATCCGTTCACGAATCCAGCAACATGGTGAAGAAGACAACATAGAAGATCATGAACTGATCTATGATGATTAAAACTAATGCTACTTAAGCTGTGAGAGTATTATTGAACATTATTGTAATTTTTTATTTTTATTTTTTATTATTTTTTGTAACTAAAATTCCAGTTTTGTCATACTTCGCTTTTTAATCCAATTTTCCACCAAATATTTCAGAGTTATAATGGATCAAGTCCAATTTTTTTCAAGTCTCCAATTATTTCTAAAAAGGTTATTTATTTAATATTACACACAGTTTAATTATTTAAACTACATATTACATAAAAGGTTTTCACTTAGATTCGATTCGTTGGTGTACTATGTAATAGTGGAGAACTTGTTAACTTTCACTCTAAATATCTCTGACTTATGTATTATGGACATGATCCACTATGGTTCTGAACGCCTCATATGAGACCTACAATATAACGTCCGTTGAACCACTAGTATAGAAGAGTACATTATGTGTACTATACGTGTCACTTCGTTTCATTTGATGTGTCATGCTAGTATTCGGCTAGTTGTTATCATTCTAATCCATTATCATTCATAGTGCCATCAGATATCTCATATGTAAGTATATATGTTCATTAGTAACGAAGATGTTGTGTAGTACCGTTTTGGTAGTCGCCTTGTTTGTTTTTTCTATTTTAATATATTCGTTATATCCTCCTCTTGCATTTGGTATGTCTCATGTTAGGATTAGATCAGTTGTTTATTTTCTACTCAGTCAGAGGCTTTCTTTAAGTCAATAAATCAAAATGTGTCTTTTAGTAAATTTATTTCCATCCACAGTGACATATGATACCTTGTGTGTAACTATACATTCATTAATAACGAAGATGCTGTGTAGTACCCTTTTGGTAGTCACCTTGTTTGTTGTTTCTATCTTAATATAATCTTTATCCCCTCCCCTTTCATTTAACGTATCACACGCTCCAATCGGACCAATAACAACTTAGATATCTAATGCCCTTTTGGCAATAAGTCCGTGTTTGTGTTTGCCGCCATGTACTAGTTACTTATTCAAAGCTAGTGCTTTACATCCAAAACTTGGGGAGGGGATTAGCCTTCTGTTTGAAAGAATGTGGTCCATCATAGATCTTTGTCCTCTGGTATTTTCAAAGGTATACTTGTTATATTTAATACGTAATTCGTTTGTGCTGCACAAATCCGTTAGAAGATCACCATTTTTATTTCTGACATTTTTGTTATATCGTTGTTTTATCCCTGGTATTATGTCATAACCGACTCTGGAGGTGTTCGTAGAAGTTTTTTCTTGTATTTACATCTCTGTTGCTCTCAACTGCTAAATTGTTATCACATTTAAAGCCTTTATGTCTAGTTTACTTACAGAGATCTTAAGATATATATAAAGATACAGTGCAAAAAAGAAAGTACTCACCTATAGTACGATAGCCATTGTCCTCTCTACTACTGCTATCATTTCTAAGAAGTTTCTGGAAAATCTCAAACAGCTGGGTCTTAATGAAAATCTCTATAAACCATGCAGAAAATGGCACTGCTCGCGACGTCCAGTTACGGAAAAATGTTTTTAGCAGATACTCTAGTGTACTAGTTCACCTAGGACTCAATAATATTAAACGAGTCTCCACAGAGCTCAATCCCTTTGATACTATAGATATTTACTACTATAGGTTTTAAAGAACGGCAGCAAAACTGAAAACGCGAAATAATAATAAATAAGCTATGTGGTACCCCATGGGGGTCCTCAGCCTCCGTACTCAGATCATCCGCTCTCGGACTTGTATACTCACGAAGATTATTGACACCCAATTAAACCAGACAATGCGAATGATCTCAGGTACAATTAGACCTACACCGAACTATTGGCTTCCCATTTTGAGTCACATTCGAGACTAACCATCAACTACCTATCCACCATGATAAGCTTGATATCGAAATAAGCAGACTAAGCACCAGATATCCTCCATTGCTAAGAGCCAACTCCTTATATCAGGAACATTTCAACCTCACAATACATGGACAACGCTAAACAGAATAAGAACAATCAGCGGTAGATGTGCTGACAGCTTATATAGATGGGGAAAGCCCTTACTCCTGACTGTGACTGTGGTGCGCAACGACCGACCGTCCGTCACATTGTTGAAGAATACCTCCAAAGGCGATTCCCTGGAGCTTTCGATGAGTTCTTAAATGGGACGGAAAATGTTTTACATTATATTGATTATTGATTGGATGTGTTTTACATTAAATTTTCGTTTGTAATACTCCATGTAACGTTCTATATTGATTTTTTATTATGTGTGCTTATTGTATGCTATATGATATACACTATGAATTAATATACACTATAGATAAAGTACATCCCAGAGGTACTTTTCAGTGCGTCATTAATTATGACGTCATAGAATGAATTAGGTGTGTCGAGAATTATTTCATATAATTATTGAAGAATCTGACAGATGCCAGGATCGTACTTAGCCACAGGGGGTAATTCCGTATATTGATAAAAATAAAAAATAAACAATATTGTTTATTCAATTTATAAATATGGAAAAATTTTAAATTGACGACAAAATGATTCATTTATTGAATTTTTGTATCTTCTTCTCAAGGGGCTGTCTGCATGTCGAAATTTGGCAATCATCACAGCGATTTTAAATTTTGAAACAGCGGCTCTAAATAAGTCGTTATTACATGAGTTATGTCTCCTTCCTATGAATTTTTTCTCCTAATTTTTTCTTGCATAATGACCTGGAGTGTTAGATATTTCTCTCCTCTCGTCGCATGACCTATATATCCCACTTTTCTTCTCTTAATTGTTAGTACTTCTCTTTCCTTATGCATACGTCACATTACTCCAACGTTGGTTATTCCATCTACCCATGAGATCTCTAGTACTCTTCGGAACACCCACATCTCGAATGCCTTCAGTCTCCTCACGTGAATTTTCTTCAGTGTCCACGCTTCCATCCCGTATTATAATACGGATAGCACGTAGCAACTCAGCAGTCGTATTTTTAACTTAAAGTTTAAGTTTCTACAGCAGAGAAGCCTTTGTATTCTTGTAAATGCGCTTCTGGCCTGTTTGATTCTGATTCGTATGTCTTGAGAGCTGTCATTGTTTTCATTAATAGTTGTATCTAGTAATTTGAATTCTCTTATCATTTCAATAGGCTGATTCTGTACATATATCTTACGAATGTCCTGAGTTGTATTTGTTATTATCATATATTTCTTGCTCTGTTGAGTGATGGTCCATATTCTTCTTCGCTTACTGCGGTCACCAAATTAAGAAGTATCTGTAGGTCTTCATGTGATTCGGCTAGAAGAACTGTATCATCAGCGTATCGCAGGTTATTTATGATCATGTCATTAATTCTAATGTCTACGTTTCGTTAACCCATTGCCTTAATTAATATGTCTTCCGAGTATACATATTAAATAATACTGGTTTATGTATACACCCTAGTCGAACAACTCTTTATGCTTCTATTTCTTCTGTTATTATATCTTTTATTCTCACTACTGCTTTCTGACCATAGTATAAGTAACACAAAAAAGACTGTTTTCAAAAATTTATTAAGTATTTTTTTTACTTTTAGCAGATAAAATTATAGAAAAATACTGCCGGTAGGGATGTTTCCATAAAGATATTTCCTTAGACAACTCCATGGTCAAATATTTTGGTTATAACTTAGCTAAACAGTTAATTAAAAAGAAGCCAGTCAGATGTGAATATAAGAATTGGATAATAACTGGTTCCACTGGATATGATTATGGTTTTCACGTTTGTTGCCAAAAAAAAAACAGATGGTACTATTAAAATAGACCACTTGAAGCTAAAATAGTAATTGATATTTTGAAACAGTTGCCTGAACCATCAACAAATGAAATTTTTTCGATAAACATGTCATGACATATCAACTAATGATATATCTGAAACAAAAAAATGTAAAGGCAACAGGAACTGTAAAATGTCCAGTAATGGAGAAAGCTAATGAAGAGTAAGCTAATGAAGAAAAATGCATATGATTATAGATTTGACAACACTAATGAAATTTTGTGTGTGAAATGGTATGACAATAGTGTTCTATGTTATCCAATTATGATACCATTGAACCACTAGGTCAAGTAAATACAAAGGTCGCAATATGGTGAAAAAATATATGTATTGAATGGTGTTTTGAAAAATACCATACAAATACCTAATGTCCCCATTACGCTGAAATAAACAGTAAATAAAATAATTTTATTTTCATGGTAATTTTCAACTTACTTTACGAACAGCAGAAATTTGTAATATTGTTTGTCTAGCTTCCTTTTCCAATTGAAAATATTTAAGCAAATTTAATATTAGAAATTGTTCTTTTTCCATATATCTTGTCATCTTGTACAAATACAAATAAAACCACAATCACAATACTATGTAAAACAAAATACAAAATAACATTATACAAAACAAATACCAAAGAATATAAATATATTATGTAGCGTCTATATTCTTTTCAAATACTGACCTGAACGACAGCCGTCACTTGCTGTTTGAACACTTCGAAAGAATGGCCAGCATGGCCGAAATTTTACGTCAACTGTCAGTAATAGGCGTATTTAATTGGCTAGAGAAAGCTAGCATCTAAATATCAACGAATCAAACGTATGTTAGGAAAGAACCTCTTATGTATGTAAGCTTATTCTAACGCTGCAATATAGTTCTGTTTAATCACCGAACTACCGCTTTCTCCGTCACATCCAACTTAATGCATTAGAAAGAAATCGAAAAACTGTGACGCACTGAAAAGAACCTCTGGGATGTTCTATATCTGGAATTCATTAATTTTCCCGTTAGACGGAGTGAGTGCTTTATGCCTCAAATCTGGATCATGAACTGAATCCTTATAATAATAAAATTTATTTCTAGAGTAAACCCTATGATAAATGTATTTTTTTATTTCAGGGTCAAAATATTGATCGTGCTTGCCAAGAATCAGATGTTGAAGTACTAATAGGAAAAAGTTCCTGTAATGTAACTTCTTTATCTCGCCAACAGCTAACTTGCCGTCCTCCAGAATCTCAACCTCCCGCTGTTAATGACCAAGATGTACCTAATGGTGAAGCGCTGCCTGAAGTTGTAGTTATTGTAGGCGGTTCATTACATTACAACATCGGAGTCCTGTCTTATTCTTCACCTCAAGGTTCAAAAAATACTATAATGTGCATTGCAGATTGTTTTTTATTTCCGCATTAGTTTAATTACATTATGTTGCAATTACGTTATGTTATACTTGAAATTTGATTTTACATCGCTGCCTCCTTTAATTTCTTCTCAAGCGTTTGTATTTTGCTTTGTTTGCGCTTCTTGAATTTTTCTCCTCATATGTCTTCTGATATCCTTAGCCCTTGTTCACGTGACACTGTACTGCGTATTCAATTTTAAATGTTTAAAAAGTAAGATGTTCGCACGAGACATTCTTAAAGTAATAGCCGGTGTATGTTATTAGATTTGCTTGACAATTCTATTGAACAGTTCTATAATACAGTATTGGAAGATTCAAAACGGAACATACGAATTATTAATACAATTATTAAGATCCCTTGACCTGCAATTACCCAGTGTAAATTTCAATATAACGTCGCGATGTCTTATAATTAATTCATTTGTTCGACTGGACTCCTTCTCCAGTCGATATTTTTCGACTGCTGCGCACGTGCGCACCTTAATAATACGACTAATAGTTGATTGTGTCGGTATTGGCCTATCTTCATACGCACAAGTAAATAAATTTATAATATCACGGTACGAGTTGCCCCCATAATACCATTTTAAAATTTGTACTTTTTCTTTGTTTGTATACATGGTTTATGGTTAGAAACACTACTTTTATTTCAGCTTATGGCGTTATAATGAGAAGCAAAGCAAAGGGTATGTATTTGTTTGGCTCGGCCAGTGATGTTCCTTGGGACTGTTGCCAAATCGATAGATACCTTCGGCAAAAATCTGTAGATTTTGATGTATCATATACATCCTTTTAAATTTTAAATTATCAACAATATTTGGAATAATAAATATATTAAACTATACACTAACCAATTCAAATAATATCTAATGAACACAAAAAAATTGTTATTAATAAAACATTGTTATTATCTGCACAAAAACACAGAAAATCAGTGGACGATAGACAACAGTGTCGACGTACACCTGTCGAATACGCTGCTACTAGAAATCGCCAAGGAGTAGCAATCCAGTCGAACAAATGAATTAATTATAAGACATCGCGACGTTATATTGAAATTTCCACTGGGTAATTGCAGGTCAGGGGATCTTAATAATTGTATTAATGATTCGTATGTTCCGTTTTGAATCTTCCAATACTGTATATGCATCAATACTTATTCGGCAAAATCGAATACTGTAAGAAACATGCAGTGCAGTGTGAACGAGACAAGACGTAAATGGATTGACGAACAATGTGGAAGCTTTTTTTCAATTCTGTAATGTTCTGCTAATAATTCTGTTTCAATCCAAGTTTATTAAACTTTTTTCAACATTAGAAACATTTAATTTCAACACTACATAGGAAAGTGAATGAAGGATAAATTTGTTTCAAGATAGAATTTCAAGATATTCTATTTTTCTAATATTATAGAGACTATAAATTATCATATGTAATTAAACTAATATAGAAAGGCTTATACTAATAAAAGTAGCTTCATAGTTTATTTTATGTACAGTAAACTTTTTGGGTTGTAGTTTTAGTAATATTAGTTGTTTTGTAAATGCTTAAGAATGGTAGATAATATATGGTGGTAGTTACATATACAGCAGAAAATATTGCAATTAAAAGATTGTTTTTATACCCTCACCTACTTCTAAAATCTCCCCACAATTTTTAAAACTTAATTTAGCCATTATTTGGATACAGCTGTCAAACAATACAATTTTCTCTATTTAAAACGTCTGATTTTTTTTTAAGATGTTTTAAGCAAAACATAGTAAAAAATGTGACACACTTTAGAATTTTTTTATGAAGATCTTGAAAACGAAAACTAAATACACTGATCGGTAGAAAAAGTGGACACCCTGTACATTTCCGAAAATAAAAATTCATTGAAAGTTTTATGCACTGTTTTATGTTGTATGCTCAACATCTTTCAATTTTAAAACAAAAAATGTTTACTGCTTGTTTCCTAAGCATAATTTATTTAATTAGAAGGCTACAAAAGAAAATAGTGTAGTGTCGAACCGAATTATAAAAAAAAATACAAATGACGAGTTAACTTGAACAAAATTGTCTAATATCGGCTCATCATCATCATCAATTAGCCTATATTTGTCCACTGCTGAACGTAGGCCTCCCGTAAAATGTTACACCTATTTCTATCTTGAGCTTCTTGTATCCAATTTGTGGTGATACGCTTAATATCATCCGTCCATCTAGTCGGTGGTCGTCCTCTGCTTCGATATGCCTCTTTCCTTGGTCGTAATTCCAGAATCTTTCTGGTCCATCTATCATCCGTTAATCTGGCAACATGTCCGGCCCAAGTCCATTTAGCTCTGGCTATTTTTTCAACTGCATCTGTGACTCCAGTTCCTCCTCTTATTTCTAGGTTTGGTACTTTATCTCTGATGGTAATACCTAATCCATAGCGCATTGTGTAACTCTTATTTTATCTATTGTTCTTTTTGTCAGAGTCAGTGTTTCTGCACAATATGTAAGAACCGGTAAAACGCACTGGTTAAAAACTTTTCTTTTTCAACAAACTGGGATACTAGACTTGAAAATGTTATTCAATTTACCAAAGGCAGCCCATGTCAGACCTATCCTTCTTTGTATTTCAGTTGTCTGATTATCTCGGCCTAAGCGAATCTCATGCCCTAGATATTTTTAAGCTATTACTTGGTCGATGCTATGGCTCTCAATCAGAATTTTACCGCTGACTACAAGGTTGGTCATAAATTTTGTCTTTGAGGTGTTAATTTTAAGTCCAATTGTTTTTGACACTTTATAGAGCGTGTGCAGTATTTTTGTAGCTTTATCAACTCTATCAGATATTAAAACGATGTCATCGGCAAATCTTAGGTGGTTCAGATCTTGCCCATTTTTATTGATTCCCATATTATCCTCTCGTTCCATTTGCTTGAACATATTATATTCAAAAACAGCTGTAAACAATTTAGGGGAGATAGTATCACCCTGTCTAAATGAAATAGAGACTCTCTTCGGGAAAGGAAACATCGTAATATACATAAAAGCCAATAGATTAAGATGGGCAGGCCACGTGGTACGGAGTGATGACGACAGACTGATTAGCAATGTGTTTTGGGAAAGACCAGATGGTAGAAGATCGACAGGAAGGCCTAGAAAAAGATGGAAAGACGCAGTCAGGGAAGACCTGGAGAAGATGGAAGTAAGGCCATGGGAAATAATAGCACAGGATCGGAATCAATGGAAGGCAATAGTAAACGCGGCAAAAACTCACGAAGAGTTGTAAAAGCCAATGATGATGATGAGTATCACCCTGTCTAATTCCATGTTCTATTCGTAACTTCTTGGTATCGTCATGAAGACGGACACAAGCTGTACCAGTTTCATAAATACTTTTAATCAAGGCGATATATCGGTAGTCAATGCGGCAGTCAGCCAATTCTCGAAGCATTTTATGATGATCTGTAGTATCGAACGCCTTTTCATGTAGATGATCTTTTGTTCCGTATCTGGAGCGGTACCCAGCCCGTGCACAAGGTTAGTAACTATCCAGTTTATTCACAACTCGTTTTGTTATTATCTTCATCAATAGTTTGTATGTATGGGAGAGCAAACTAATAGGTCTGTAGTTCTTTAGGTCGGAAATGTCATCTTTTTTGTGCATTATGGTTATTATTGCATTATGCCACTTGGAGGGGGTTACGCCTCTTATCAAACAAGCATTGAACATATTTTTCAACACATTTACTAACGTTTCTCCTCCTTCTTTGATTTGTTCAATGTCTTTCCCATCTTCTCCAGGTGATATATTGTTTTTCATCTCCGAGAGAACTGATTTTATTTCCCCTGTTGTGATATCTGGGATGTCTTCTGAGCCTACATTTTGAACTTTTGGTATTTGATTTTGATCAGGATCTGGAAGTTCTTCTCGCTTATACAATTGTGAGTAAAATTCTTGAGCAATTTTTAAAATATCTTCCTTGTTTGTTGTAGTTTCTTTTTTTTTATTTACAAGTTTACAAATATTTTTCGATCCTTCAGTCATTTGTCGGCGCAGAACCTTTAAACTTTTATTTTTATCAATGGCTTGAGTTATTTATTCAGTGTTGATTCTGTGATATCTTTGTTTAACTGTCTAAGTGTTACAAAATTATCTTTGTTTTTGTCTTAATTATCTTCTTTTCTTTATAAGATCTTTAGTAGCTTCAGTGAGTTTGTCCATTTTAATTTTTCCTTTTTTCTTATATTTTCTATGAGCGTTTCGAATTGCATTATTTATTCGCATGTTTGTCACCTCTGTATCTAATGCATTTTCATTTAGATGTTCTACTTTCAGTTCTGAAGTTATGAGATTCTGATAAGCTACACTATCTTCTATCAATTTCCATTTATTAGAATGTCTCTCTGTTATCATTGCTGTCCTCTCTCGTCTAATGTTGATCATTATTTTTGCTCTAACCAACCGATGGTCACTCGCAAAAGTGATTTTATTAATTACTGTAACATCTTGGACAATATTTTTTCTGTTTGTGATGATGAAATCAATTTCGTTTTTTGTTATGCCACAGGTCCTCTATCATTTCGCTCACTGTATCCAAATGAGTCCATAGCCACTTCTGTGTTATATTGGGTATTATGCACTAAAACATCAATATAACCGTTTGCATATGATTTGAAAGGGAAAGGAACACATTTTGAATAAAAACTTGAGGAATACGTTTATATTTTTCACGAAGCATGTTTTGAAGTTCTGCAAGACATTCTAGCTGACCTGGTTGACTTCTAACCATACGATTCCGATTAGAACAGCAGGCTGGCCATTTTAGAGTGGTTATTCTCACTTCCCCCAAATAATTTGTCACGATTCTTGCAATATACGACCGGGCATTATCATAGATGAGACGAAATTGTCCTAAATAAATGGACCAAATGGAACTACTGCCTCTGTCAAAAAATCCTCTCTATACCGGTGGGCATTCAGGGGG